CCTTCAACATTTGTATCAGTCATTTTATTTTCTTCTATGGAAAATTATCTTTTAATTTGCTGTTTAATTATGGACTTGAATTCAGAAACATTTTCCTAGAAAGTCATTGAACAGTATCTAGGATGACACTGTAGCAGCAGCCCAACACGTTCCCACCTTGCTCCTTTAATCATCTCTTTCTACTTACGTCCACTCATGACTCTTCTGCTAAATAGCTCTGTGGCTTTGAACGATGCTTAAAGTTTTCATCCACAAAACAGGATTGGACTAGAAGACATTCTATCAAACAGTAGTCCTCAAACCTCCTGGCCTAAAGATGTTTGCATACTTTTGAAATTATTGGTAATCTCCTCCAGTGATTAGGACTTTGGTTTATATGGGTTGTATCTATTACCACTTGCCATATTAGATTCTAGAACATTATTTTTGAAATATACTCATTTACCGGGCATCGTAACAGATACCTGTAATTCCAACCTGTGAGAAGCTGAGGTGGGAGGTTAGCCAGGAAACTGAGGGTACCCTGAGCTACAGAGTGACTTTCAGGCCAACCTGGGCTACAAAGGGGTTCCATCTTAAAAACACAGGAAGAATAGTTAAACATAGAAAATACATGCTAATTCACTGAAAATAACAACAGCAAACCCAAACACATGAGCACGTTTTTATGAAAAATTGTATTTTCCAAGACAAAAACTACAGTAAGAAGAGAGAGGCCTCATTTTATAACTTTTTCAAATCTTTTAAGTATGTGACTTAATAGAAGACATAAAAGACAGAATCTCATATCTGTATTTGCATTCAACCTGTTGTGACATCAGTATCCTGTAACCTCTAAAAGTTTTCATTTTGTGAGGAGATGAGTATTGAAAGGGCAAGTAGTATCTGAGGAGTGTTATAAAAGTAGCTTTGAGCTCGCAGATTCCTTGAGAGGGTCTCAGGGACCCTCAGGAGCTCCTGGAACACTCTTTGAAAACTGCCTTTTAAAAGTAAGCCCAAATTAACTATAGAGGCATGCAGTAACTTTGATGATGGGATGTGCCAGTACACCGGGCTAGTCTCCTTCTTAGGATGCTGGTTTGCTTCCACAAGCCTTTTGGAGCAGTTTTTCCTTGTGTGTGAGCATGCGTACAGGTACATGTGTGTGCAGCAGCATCTGTTGATCTGTGCTGGGATTCCAATCCAAGCTTGTGCATGTTCCTGGAGTGGGAGTGGGGACCGAAACAAGACGAGAGTAGGAAATGGAGTTGAGCACCCATCTTATCTTTTCCCAAGGCTCTGATGAGGCCAGTCAGTCAGTTGTCTGGGGTGCAAAGCAGGCTGATAGCATGGAGCTACCAGCTCCAGGGCAGCACAGTCTGGCAGGCCTTCCTGCTATGATAGAAGTATTCTCTATGTGTGCTAGTCACTATACGTAGGTGCTGCTAGTCACATGTGACTGTTGGGCACCTAACATGTGATTAGCTTATCTAGGGAACTGGATTTTTAATTTTACTGAAATCTAGTTAATTTACATCTAATTTGCATAGCCACATATAGTGGTGGGCAATCACAGATCGTGTTCTCAGTGGATGGAGGAAGAGGCCTTCCCTTGGGGCTGAGCTGAAGGCAGGTTGTGTAGTCAGCTGTGTAGGACCAGCAGAAGCCTGAGGACCTCACTCCTAGGGTGGGAGGCAGGGTTATCACTGGGGTCAGGGAACCGCTGCCTCAAAAGAATGCTCAGGTCATGGCTAGGCATGGTCACAGGCAGGTCTGGAGAGGAGAGCAACCTCCATTCAACTTTGGCTCATTATTCTGCATCAAGAATGGAGGAGTAAAGGGAAGCCTCCCTAAGGGCATTCTCTATTCAGGAGTCAGTTTACCCTGAGAGACAGGATTCTCACAGGGCAGGCCTCTATATCACCTCCTCCAGTTTCTAATCCACCTCTGCCTTCTCAGCTTTCTGAGTCCTGACATTTATCCCGTCAGTAACTGACATTGACTTTACTTTCTCCATTAAACTAGAAGCTCCATGAAGGTAGACCCATGCCATCTACTCTGGCCCAGTACCTCAAACTGCAAAATACCTGTCTATTCCGAGGTGATAAGGACAACAGAGGAGAGAGATTAACATTCATTCAAAGGCAGCACGGACTTCAGACGGCCTTCGAAGAGGAGCAAATGGAGTTGCCCAAGGAGTTGTGTGTTGTGTTAGTTACTTTTCTCATCACTATGACCAAATAGCTGACATAAGGAACTTAAGGGAGGAAGGACTTATTATGACTCACAGTTTAAGGGTAAAGTCCATTATGACAGAGTCCACCGTGCATGGCTGGCAGGAGAGGCCTGAGGCTGTGGTCGCAGGAGGGTGAGACTGCTCATATCACCACCATGGACCAAGAAGCCTTGGTGGCCCGTGAAACCTTAAGGCCTGTCCTCCAGGTGATCCACCTAGGCCCTTCCTCCTAATGGTTCCTTAGTATCCCCAAACAGTGCCACCACCTGGGACACATGAGTCTAAGGGAGATATTTCATATTCAAACCAGAGTTTAAAGTGACATTCCAGAAGGCGTAAGCCCATAAACAAGGGATTTGAGGAAAAAGAGATTCACAGGCCAGTGAAAGAGACGGGTGAAGCAGAAGAGAGGATTAGGGAAACAGGAGAGATTTGGCAATGTGGGGCTTGATTCTCCAGAGTGAAGCTCTTGGAAGCAGGGCACCCTGGGATTCTGAGCCTGGTGACATCCATCAGTCTAGCAATGTCCCATTTCCTTAGGACTCCTGTCCTGCTCATATGGCCACAGTGACTCTACTTCCATCCTCTAGAAGGGTATGGGAACCAGACCCAGCCAATGAAGATGGTTAAATGTTCCAGGGATATGGACAGGCCCTTCTGCTGTGACTGAACTAATCTTTTTCTTGTGATTGCTGAGCTGGTGAGATCTGACAGTATCTTGCTGCTGCAGTGGGTAAGCACAGAGGAGGGAAGAGCCAGGGGATGAGAGGGATGCCCAGGGACCTCAGCTGAGCACCTAGAGCCTGCTGGGTTTAAAGCAAACCTACTTCTGGACTCATTCTATTTTCAGACAGTTGTTGTGAGGTTCCTGCCACCAGCAACAAAGGAAGACCAGATTATGGGCCACAGATTATTGCACTGATGGTCTGAGCCAGGGATGTGAGGCTAAAGAGGAAAGCAGGCCTGTCAGCCCAGGAGCTGAAGCATTGCCTAGTGCTTTCCTATTTGAGGACTGCTGTCTAGTAACGCTGCTCAGCCTTTGCCACCTCTTCCTTCATGATGCCTGGCTACCTGCTCTCTCATTTGGTTCTGACCACTTTGTGAGACAAATGAATCCAGTACTCTTGTGCCTGTTTTATAGCCTGGAGAAGTTAAAGGGCTTGACTGAGATCACATGGGAACCCTCAGGCCTCATTCTGATCCTGCGGCTCCTGCAACGGACTTGTTGGGGTACAGTATGTGCTTGAGGTCACCCGATGCTATCTGTAACTTTGGGTAGAAATGCAGTCTCCCTGCCCCCAGCTTCCCTTATTGACCTGAAGAAGTAGTGGGAGTTGTGAGGAAAGGCCTGGAGCCCAGTGGTCCCCTTCATTAAAAGAAATTCTGCCTAACTCTCCTGATTCTAAATAGAAGAAAATGTAGATTTGGGGCAGAACCGAAGGGAAAGGGATTTCCCTTGGCAAAGTATTTTCAATTTGTGGATTGGAGCTGACCCAGCTCTAATTCCCTTCATCATTGTGAGCGCTGTCTAAAATGTGACTGGCTTATTAAAGAAAGAGAGCTGGAAGGAGTCCTCCCAGAGGGTCTGGATGAAACAGGAGCAGAGCCAAGCCACATCCTCCTCACAGGGGCTCAGGTCAGGAGCTGGCTAGATTCTTGCCTGCCCTTCCATGATCACTCCTGCAAGCATGTTTTACAACTTGTGCTTTAAGTATTAGGAAAAGCTAGCAGTACTAGGTACTTAAAGGAATGATGCTCAGATGACAGATAGCAAGCAACAGAATGCATGTTGTTAAATCACTGCCAGAGAATATGAGTTGTGAGTGGCAGTATCTCTCCTGAAGCATCTCATGTGACTCTGAGGCAGGTGCTCCCTGGACTACCATCTGAAAAACAGCAATGTGCTTGGAGCAGTAATACACAAACTCCATCAAGTAGCCTCTTTGCCCATGGATTAAAGATGCTGCTGATCCTGGCAGAGGTCCTGGGAGAGCCAGTGCTTCCTTTTTCACTAGTGAGACTCATTACTGCTACAATTAAAGGGCATTCAGAGGACTTTCTTAGCAGGGTTTGGTGGTATGAGCCTGTAATCCAAGCTGCTGGGGAAAGAGGTGGTGAGGCAGGGGAGGGAGCACAAGTGTGAGTCCTGCCTAGGCTACAGAGTGAATTTGAGGTCAGCCTGGGCAACATAGCAAGATCCTGTTTAAAAGATTTTAAAAAACACAGAAAAGGGGCTGAGCTACCATATGGCTCAATGGTAGATCACTTTCCCAGTATACCTGAGGCTCTAGGTTTCAATTTCCAGTAGTGAAAAAAAAGTCTTCCTTGACTAAGATCTTCAAGGAGCTGTGGAATCTAGAATTCTAAGGCTCTGTCTTCTCCAGGACTGCACACTGGGGAGGAGAGAGAGAGAGAGAGAGAGAGAGAGAGAGAGAGAGAGAGAGAGAGAGAGAGAGAGAATTGTAGTATACCTACAATAGCCAAAATGTCTATATAGCTAGCTCATCTCTTCCTGGTCCAGCCTACCAGAGCTCTGAACGCTCTCTCCCCTGTCTTTCTTTGCCCCTAAGGGTTGTTATAGTGACCGATGGAGAAAAGCTTTTATCAAGTGAGGTGAACTTTCCCTTCTTTAGAAACTCTATAAACAGAATTGTAAAGAAAATCCATGGATTTCTGTTTCCCCATCTGTCTCTATCACCAGATCCCTTCTAAATTTGCCATGAAATCAGAATTGATGTATGAGGTAGCCTGCAGGCCTTCATAGTGAAATTGACTCCATACGAAATGAATCTGAAAATTCCATTTATTAAAACAAATACATTGTCCATATGGGATGAAAATGTGCACATCACATTCAGGTTTTCCTGCTTTAACATTTCTGTATTTCCTTCTTTTTAAAAGACACAATCCACAGATCTTATACAGGAAAAGTGTGAATGAAGCTTTGAACAGTCGTTGGGCTAGGACATGGTAGTCTATATGTAAAAATTCAATGCCAGGAGCAGCTAGAAGCAAGCATTAAGAAAAAAAGGAAAAGTATAAAAATCTCTCAGGACAACAGACTTGATTTTCTCAAAATTCCTTGTATGAATATAAGCATATGGGGAAATGGCTTGTATTTAATTTTTTTCATTTAATCTGATGATTTGAATTAAATGCTACTTGCTTTCAAATTAAAAAATTTAAATTGGAGTTAATATTGATGATGGTGCAGGTATTTTAATGGGGTTCTCATTCTAAATATGATGTATATTTTTACTATTTATTAATTCCATGGAAGATTTTAACTACTATCCAATATGTTAAAGAGACATATAGAAACTAGGTTATAAAATAATTAAGCTGAATTTTCCTATTAACTACCCTAAGATAAAATTATGCTGGTGAAAATGATTGTTGACATTCCGAAAGAATTAAGCTCTTTGGAGGCATAAGTAAATAAAAAAAACCCTTTTTTTCTTTAATAAATACAAATATCAACGAGTCAAAACTGATTCTGGTATGATAGCTCTGTACTATAAGACATGAAGCTGCAAAAAAGCCAAAATAGTTTCCTTACGTTTAATTTTGAAAGGGCTCTACATTTTCTCTCTTCCTCTCTTTCTAAGCACGGTCATTGTAATTTGGAGCACCCTTAACTTTTAATTGCTAGACTTGTATAAGGTACATCCTCAAAATTATAACTCCACTTTAATTGCTCCAAAGACCTAAATGTACATGGAAATATAGAATCCTTCTGATGATGTACTCCTCACCAGCACAGTGTCCCAAGTCACAGTTGATGATGCGACCACATACTCCTGTTTCATCTCACTTTCAATATGTGACAGAGTTTTAGGGACTCCGCAGTATTGCTAATTCTATAATATTGTAGTTCATTAAAGACTCTGCCAACTCTTTGTCACCACTAGGTTTTCATCAGCATCCCACCTACTATAACAAACCCTCAAGGTTTGATCACCTGAAGTTTCGGGTGACAGAAGAGCACTTGCATGTTCGTAAATGTTTTAGAACCCTCTTACCCTCCACTCCAAGCATGAGCTTTAATTGGACATATTTTATTCCTTCACTAGCAAGATTGTAAAGGAGTGAAGGAAAATATTTACCAAGTCCGTTTCAAAATCTGTCCTTGCCATAGTAAGTCTTTTTATATTCTCTTCCCTCCAAGTACTTTTCTTCCTTCTTTTAAACAGGGGGAAGGGAATGGGGAGAGGAGAGAATAGTTAATTTGGATTTAATGGTCTTTTAGGATTTGAAAGCAAACAAGACTTACAGGGGGCTCTCTTCAACTGGGAAGGACACAGAAAAAAGTTGCTAAAAGCTTCCAGGGTCTACCATGGCTGAACGAGGCTGCAGCCACAATGAAAAATTGCTCTCAATATCTTATCGTGGGAAGAAAGTGCCCTAGCCACAAGGAAACTGTAAAAGGCAGAGAGGCTCTGGCAAACGGTAGAGCACAAAATGATGATGACTTTGAAATGGTGGGGGAGCGAAAATGAAGACCATCTCAGTCGGAAAAAGAGCCGGACTCGTTTCGGATACAGGCAGCTGGGAGGGCTGCCCCTGCTGCCCAAGGGGGTTTGGGGTCTTTGTCCCCAGTGGGCCAAGAGCTGGCATTCTGAGGATGGGCACCATCTCTAGAGCTGGGAGTTTATTTCCTCTGAAACTCAAATAAGGGAGGGCTGTGTTTTTCTAGTTAAAAACATTGGAGACATTTTCTCAGCTTACAATTTACACAATTCTGGGAAAGAGGGAACGTGCTCATCCTGCATGGCAAAACCCTTCCCAAGTCATGGTGGATTCCTGGTGTCTTGTTTAGGTCGCCAAGGGTATTGCGCTGCCCTGGATCCTGAATAAGCCACAATGCTTTGGATTCTGGAAAATCTACAGAGGAAGCGCTTACAGCAGTTCACTGGGAGGTATTTCAGACATGGCTAAGGCGCTGAAGTGGTCTCAGTTTTCAAATACTGAGTTTTTTTTTCTCCTGCATCTTCTCTCTCGCACTTCTCTTCCTAGCTTTCTAGCGAAACAATACAACTTCTGAATGGATGTAACATAGGGACATATTCATGCAGTATTACTCAAAAACTGTCACAAAGATACGAAAGCACCAACCACAACACATGATTTACTTTCACTGCAGAATCAAAGCTATCATGTACAAATAGTAGGAATAGAGATAACACAGAAAACCAGCATTTGTGTGTGTATGTGTGTGTGTTTTCTTTTTTGTTATTATCATGAGGATATACCATGGGGACTATCTTCTAAACATGTCCGGTGCTCACTCACTCTTGGAGTTCAGTCTTAGCTCCACAATTACTCTAATGGGGGACGGGTAGAGAAAGGGAAAAGGAAAGAAAAAGAAAAGAAGGCACGAAAGACTAAACACGGATGCCGTTAAATGGAACTGTGACCACGTAGGACGACTCAGCTATCAGAGGGTACTTGCACGACAATATTCATTCCCAGAAGGGCAGACATTATCTTAGCTCAGGACACCTGTCTGTTTTGATGTTTACTTTTTAAAATATGAAATGGAAGGTCATGGGGGAACAGCAGAAAAAAATGACACCAATTTTAGTTTTTATACGTTCCCCTCCTCCAGGCAGATCTGCAGAATCAGATCTCTAAAGTCAGGATGTGGATCGTTCGTTCTTATAAGGGGACCAGTTCTTTAAACATGCACAGCCCAGAGTGTCCAGGATGGTTCTCTTTCCTCTCTTTAAATGCTGTGGACGAGAAAGATGCCCACTTTGCTAGAAACTCTACACCAATGTCCTGGGAGCCCCAAGGCTCTTCAGCCTCCTCTCAGAGACTTAAAGGATGGCGCAGAAGAACTTCTTCTCTCGGAAGGGGTTTTCTGAGGCCGGGACTGGGGTCAGCAGGGGGTCTTCCTTGGCATGTGCCTCGCAGTAGGCCATCAAGTCTGCAGCCGCCTTGGACACCTGGAAGGGAAGACCGAAGCAAAAGTGTAGGCAGGCATAGACTCAGCTCCATCTAGTATAGTCATGCAGGCCCTGACTTTGGGGTCCATTACCTTGGGGCCCATCCATGCTTACCACTTGAAAGTCAAAGTGTGAAAATGGAGGGAGACACTCCACATCCACCAGTTCTGCTTCCTAATTGCAGACAGTGTGTCAATGCTACTGAGCTGACAGGAGTGCCACCCAGAGATTCGGGACTAGGGTGAGGACTGCCCCAAACTGAAGGAGCCACTCAAGGTCAGGGTTGGGCAAGTGCCAACCTTGCTCTTGTACAGCCCTGAGAGAGGGTTGCCTTCAACTCTGTGTCCCTATACTGTAGTGGCCAGACACCAGTCCCAGTACTGGTTGCAAGGATTAAATGAATGAGATAATCCAGGCAAGTCAGTTAGGACATGACATACAGCAAGCTTTCCACACAGGTTAGTTGTTATTTATCTTTCTATAGGTAGAACTCTGTCAGAGATGCCTATGGACATTCTAGTTTTCCTCTATAATTAAACACATTGGGAGACAGACTTGTGTGTGTGTGTGTGTGTGTGTGTGTGTGTGTGTGTGGCTGGAGCGACCCTTGCTTGGCATTTCCTGGCTTGTAGATCTATCTGCAATCTTGGCCTCTGTCTTCAGAGGGCACTCTTCTCTCTGTGTCTAAATTTCCTATCCTGTGATCTCTGTATGAGGGTGTACCTTAATTCAGGGTGACTTCCTCTTAACTTGATTATATTTATAAATACCCTAATACCAAATAAGGCCATATTCTAAGATCCTAGGTGGACATGAATTTAAGTGGCGGAACTATTCCATGTAGTACAGTATATTTGTGCAAACACCCATTTCTTTAATAGACATTACAGTGCTGATAAAATATTTTTATTGTGCTCCCTTTTTGTTCCAGACATTGAGTTAATTTTTCTCTCTTCATGACAGTACTTAAATAAAAATGAGTATCTGCCTTCTATAGCTGAAAACTTGAGGCTCAGCAGATGATGCGAATTGTTCAATATCAGGCAGCAAAACAGTGGCAGAAAAAGAACTTGAACCCTGATGATGCTTTGCCATTAAGCCGCAGCCATCTGCATGCAAAGTACTCAAATGTCTGGCTAGTTCCAAAGGTTGAAATTGAAATTCTTCATGCGTCTTCATTAAACTCTATGATGGCTAATGAAAGGAACAGCCTGTTCCAGTCTTAGCTGCTGAAATGAAAGCAAAGCTCAGACTTGCAGGAGAAATCGCAATCACGTTTTGTTTTTGTTTTGTTTTTTTTCTTTTCTTTTACTTGTTTGAGCAATAGTCATTATTGTACCAGACAGGAAATCAGTGGTTAAGCAGTAAAGACTGTAAAACAGTAATACTGGAAGCTCACTTGTTAAGAAGAAAAGATCTGGTACTGTGTATACCTACTGATTTGTAGTGCCCACATCCAAATGTGTGACATGAATTTGTCAAAGTCCTTTTTTTATGACACAGAAAATATACAGTGAGCAAAATAAATAACTTAGAATTGCTCATAGTTTGTATTTGAACAATTGATCCTGTATGGCTTCCTTTTCAAAATATATTATAATTTATTCTGTTTCCTTGATTAAATCGCATTCTCCTGTGGATGATGGTTCAACACAATATCTATGTGTCAAAACTGTGTGAACCACTTTACACCAAGTATCTTATTTAATCTGCAGAATCCAGTATGGGTCTATAAGCTATGGTTATCCCCATATTTTGTTCTTTTCTTTTTTTGAGATAGGGTCTTACTATGCTGCCCTGGAACTTGCTGTGTTGCTCAGACTGGTCTACAACTTTGGCTTTTCCTGCCTTAGTCTCTTAGGTACTGAGATGTGCCCCACCATGCCCACCAGCATCCTCATCTTGAGTCTGTAAATTTGAGGCTTCAAAAGGTGTTTGGCCTAGGACTCAGTTCAGCAGCCCATTGTGAATCTGCATATTCCTGACTTAATCTCTACCAAGGCTGTCACGTGCGCTCCTTACCTTATAGTAAGTTAAGCAATAGTTTGCCTACATCTTGTGCTTTCTAATTATCTCTGCCAATATCTGTACACAGCTTCTTTTATATTCTCAGGTCTAGTTCTTCTATGAAGATTTTTCTTATAACTTTAGAACAATCTCTCCCTTTTCTGCCTTGTTGATTCATCCTCCAAAAATACCGTGTGTTTGGTCCCCTTACAGTCATCGCTATTTCAGCACCCCGGTTTGAGACTCCCATCACAACCGAAACACTGCTTAGATAAAAACACAATTGTGTTCACCAGTGGGTCTAAGGGTAGACTTTAAAGGTGGTCTGTGAACTTTGATGATCAAAATTATGTCTTTATTTCCACCAACCTCAAATGGAAATTCACTTCCTTTCATTATAAATATGGATACTCACGTGCGCTCTACTGGTGAGTCAGTCAATAAATCAGATATTTTCAATAACATTATAGTTGCCTCTGCATCTCAGCACTGTATTTATGTTTATACCTTATGGTTATAGGTATAGTACTGGCTACTGTAGAAGAAGGGAGTATACAAATAACCATATTAAATTAAATATATATTGACTTTTGAAAATATTTTTAGAAATATGTTGACAATTATCTAAAAATATTTTATGATTTCAGCACTATATTTCAACACAATTACTTTCTTTTGTAATTTGAAACATTATTCTGAGAGGGCAGCCAGCCAGTTGGGTCAAGGGTACCACATGTTTAAGAATCACAGTTCTGAGTAACTTCTTGGCTTTCACAACTGTGTCGGAAATGGAAGTCTCCATACTGCAGCTATGAAGGTATTTTAAACATGCAGACTGCCTTATGCCATCCTCCTGTTAAAAAAACTTTAATAATTTCCCACTACGCTTAGTGTCAAGTAAAACATCCGGTTAAAGCTGTGGGTCCTCCTGCATGTTTGGGGCTTGCTCAGCTCCAGCTTCATGCTGAGTTCTTCCCTCTCCAGGTCTTCTTGAATTTTTGAAAGCTCCACACTCTTTTCTTGGAATTCCATCTACAATTCTGAGGAAACTTCTGACCTCACATGCTCAGCAGCCTGTTCGTCTTCCTCCAGGAATTGGGAGAAAGATGACCCTTGGCAGAGTGCTCGCTGGTCACTTCATTCAAAGTGACTTTCCCCATTTGTTTCTCCCCAAGCAGCACACTGTTCTCATTCACAGACACCTGGTATGATTGTAACCATGAACTTGCTTATTTGTTGTTTAATGTTGTTCTTACTATGCTGTACCAAGGCAGGAACTTTGTCCGTTTCATTCACCACCATGTAATCAGCATCTGATGCATAAAAGAGGCTCAAGTAATTGCTGAGGGAATTTTCAAATGCAATCTTATTCAGCAAATACTTCATTCATTGAGTGAATGAAATTATTCACTGTGTGCCTAATGTGCTAGGTATGGTTCTGAATGCTTGCAATCACCAGAGAACAAAATACAGAAAGATGCTTGTCTTCTTGTATAGTGTTCCAGACTGCCAGTTCTGACTGTGATGGAATAACAGAGACTAATTAAACCCCCCTGGGCCAAATTAAACTGGACAGAATATACGAAGAAATGATTAAGTGTTAAACCCCAGGCAGCACAGGGCAGTGCTTTCTGAATGCGGAAGATAAGGTAAACCACACAGCTGTCTCAGCTACAGCACAGGAAGGGGAGACCCAGAATCTGGCACTCTCATGAGAGAGAATAACAGGGAAGACAAGGGGAAGCGACAGCTCCAGAAGCTCAGTGGACACCTCTTGAATCTTTGCTGAATGCTGATCAGCACCTGTGGAGTTGGGGGGCAGGTAAGGCTCTGTGAAGAACAGCAATGAGAATCAAATGATGATATTCCTAGAGATTACACAGGACAAAGCAGTATCAGCCAGACATGAAATCTTAATGCAAGGAGTTGAGCAGGGACAGAAGCAGGATGTTACTTCTGTAGTTCTAGGCTAGAGGCTGCTGGGGGCTCATCTATAAAAGTTTTAAAGTGAATCTTGAACAGATCAAAATGTTTCCAAAAAATTTAGCTGTACCCCAAAACAAAATTAAAAAATACGTAAAGAATATAAAAAAAAATCCAGTATGCCACAAGATAAAATTCACCATGCCAAGAAGCCAATAAAAAATTGTCAACCAAACAAATAAGCAGGAAGGAAATCTTTACTATAATGAGGAGAAAAGTTAATCCAAAGAAAAAGATCTAGACTGGCATGGCTGAAGTTGGTGGATCGGAATATTGCCAAAGCAGTTACTGTAAATAGTTTCCATGTGAGCAAGAACATAGAGGAGATCAAAGCCTGGTCCACAGAGACATGGAGAATACCAAACAGGTTGCTCACCAAGCTGATGTGCAAGGTATTCCTGTGGGGGGCGGGGAGGCACGGAGAGGAAGCCTGGTTCCCTGCAGGACAGGCATCTGATAAGGATGAGGGGAACCAGTGCCTCATTTTCAGTGACAGGATTATAATCATGAAAAGCAGAAAACTGTAACAAACTCTGTGGTATAGACTAGGACTTGGTGGTTTGGATATAAATATATGATTACAAATACATACAGATATAGGAAAAATACAGAAATAAGTCGTGTGAACGTGTGTATTTATGTGTTTATGTGTGTACATGTGCAAGAGTGTGTATATGTGTGAGTGTGTTTATGTGCCTATATGTGTGTGAATATGTGTATGTATGTGTGAGAGTCTGCATATATGTGTATGAGTGTATATGTGCGTGTGAATATGTGTATATGTATATATGGGGGAGTATACATGTGTGCTTATGTATATATTGTGTATGTGTATGTATGTATGAGCATGTGTGTATACATATGTATGTGAGTGTGTATATGTGTGTGAAGTGTGTGTGTGTGTGTACGTGCATTTTCTAGTTCTGCTCAGTAACAGGACCTGGGAGTAATGAGTATACAGGTCTTGGTTCTTAAACACCACTCTCAAAGGAACCAGAGCTCACTGGAGG